TTGAATTCTAGCACGGGGTTCCACCAGCAGCTCCCACAACTGTCCATACACCAGAGCAAAACAAAACATCATCTTGGACAGCAGAACACCCAATTTCATTCTGTTGATGGGGAAAGGAGGAAGGATTTCAGCAGCTCAATTAAAAGCCCTTTCCCAGACCAGTCCCTGCATTTCCCAACTCACAGTTGTGCCCTGGCCCCACAGCCCTCACTCCACAGCCTCCCCATTTTCAGATGAGGCCACACCTTGCCCCCAGTAATTAATGATGTAGGTAACACCTGGAAAAAGGTGCAGTTCTTGGCAACTTCTCGAAGGGGGATGTGGCAGAAGGATGACGGGCATTTTGCTAATAGGAGGGAACACCTTCAGGCTGAAAATCTGCAGGTTTATCTTGCCCCGGGGCCACAGGCAGCTTGTGCTTGCCAGCTCTGCTTGCACTACCATGCGCCTGCTGAGCTGGCCTGTCTGCCACCTCCAGCCCCCATCACTCTGCAGTCCTGCCCCTGCAGGGGTCCCTCCTTCCCAGCCCGTGTCAGGAAATGGGGAATTTATCAATGTAGCCACTGTTGCTAGGTTCTCTCTGTCCTGTTCTCGAAGAACCTCAACATTGTTAAGCATGATGATAACATGTGATTTTTCAATTTCCTTTTCTCTTAGGAAGCTACCCTGCATCCAAGAAAAAGTTGCTTTGTGAGTTCTGTAGGTGGGGACACCACTCCAATAGAGCAGGGCTGAGGCTGGTGCTTGGGGAGCCTTGATCAGCATGGTTTCCCCTTTGTTTCTGGGACAAGCCAGCAAATAGGACAGCACGTTTTCTGGGAGCCAGAGGAGACACCAAGCCTCTAGAGCCAGAACTGTGAGCAAAGACATCACGAATGGGAGCAGGAATGGGAACAGGAGAGGCAGCAGCAGGAGATCAGGTCTAAGTGCTCAGCAGAGCTGCAGTGGATGAAGCAGGGAGGAGCTTGTCAGCAGATCTTCTCCCTTTGAGGAGAAGAGAGGAAAGGTCTAGATCAGACAAATGACTGATTTCCACGGTAATCACAGACCCAGCCATGCTTAACAACAGAAGCAGAGCATTCAGCCTTATGTGACTGCTGGTTTGAGGGCTGTCAAGCATGTCCCATGAACAATTACCCCTCAGAATGGCTCCCTTCAGAGCAGGGAGCACGAGGCATTGCAGATCTGCAGCCTGTGTCTGCCTACTCCCTTTCCAGGTGGGACACAGAGCCGAGCGCAGGCCGGGCTGCCCCGTCGCGGATCAGGAGAGGGCCTGCAAAGCCTGAGCAGGGACAGAGAGGCTCTTCCCCAGCCGAGCCAACACGAAGCAGGACTGCACCCGAGCAGTAATAACCACTGAGTTACTGCTGTAATGATGCTGAACCATGGGGGAGAGGGGTCCTGCCCAGCAGAACCAGCACAGGGACTTCGGTGCGCTTCTGCAGCTGCTGCCCGTG